CCTCGTTTTTCTCTCCATGGCGAACCATCGTCAGTAAGCGGGGTACCTGGAAAGGACAAAGTGAACGAGCCAGGGAATATTTGGGGTATATTGTTACACCCCATCCACGACTACCACTTTCCTTATTTCAAGTAACCTCCAAAAACTAAAATAAATGCAATAAAAAGGCCCTCACACAAGGCCACCGACGGATACTCCACCGTCTTACGACACAAACACAGCGCAACTGCCTTGACAAGCGCGAGAAATGACAAGCGCGAGAAATGACAAGCGCGGGAAAGCACTCCTACCTATTCTACCCAAGCCTCACCATGGGCTGGAGGGCGGGGCAGTGCAACGCGCAAGGCTATCATGTGAGAGCGCGCCAACTGCCCGCAACTTAGCAGTAGCCCTCTCACCTTTTCCTTTCCATTTTCGGACTAGTAAGTACTGCGCTGCATGAATCCAACGGTTGTGTCCTGGTATGATTCGTTCAATAGTACCTCCCCCCTGTTGTAACTACATGGACTGATTGGCCCCTTCATCAGGTTTCCATCGCTTTCTCATGTGTGCCATGCGAGGCGAAGAGTGTGCGTGAAGACGCGTGAAAGACGCGTTTTGTGAGGGAGGATGAGGGGGGTGCAGTCTGTACAGAGTAGAGTAGGGCATAAATTGACCCCCCGGGACTTTCTCATAGTTGTTTGTTCTTTACTCTGGACAGTTTCATCCTGTCTTTCTCATTACTTTTGTTATTCTCATTTTCACAGTAGCTCTTATTCTTTTCCCTTTCTTTACATATCTACTATGCCATTTTCCTTATCCCTAAGCATTTCACAGCGCCCCGCTGTGATTGGCGGAGCGAGAAACTCGCTGTGGTTGAGGATTTTGTTCAGGGGAAGAACACCATGGAACGAGTGCTCTGTTATCGAATTGGGTGGCTGGATGAGCTGGAGAGGGACGAGGGTCGGGGCAGTAGTGATGGGGGTGTTCTGGAGCTCGAGTTGAAAAAGTTGGAAGGTTAGTTTTGGGCTCTTGTGGATGAGAACAAGGGGGTGTTGGTTTTATGGTTGTTGTTGTAGGTTGGGAATTTCATTCTCAGTAGTCTTCGTGGTGGTGTGGTATTTTCGGGGAGAAGGATACGCTGAGATGGGGTAGGATGGGGTAGGATGGGGTAGGATGGGGTAGGATGGGGTAGGATGGGATAGGATACGCTGAGATGGGATAGGATGGGGTAGGATGGGGTAGGATGGGATAGGATGGGATGAGGAGACGGGGTTATGTGGATGGATGGATGTGGACTACATGAGGTGTGCGGTATGGATGTGAATGGGAGGGGGGATACAACTCTACTCGTACTTACTGCTAATATTTCGGGAATGAGGAGCCATAGATAGCAATTCAGATTCTTTTACTTAGTATTTCTCGGTGACATGACAGGAGGAGGTAATTGGGTGTTGAGATAATGTTGTTCTGCTTAGTCCGCTTGTTATAAACTTCTGTTCAAACCAGACTGCCAGTAGTGAGAAGTGATTTTAGCATGTTTTTTTGAATCGAAGAGCGATAGCTAAAGTAAAAGCCGGTTTCGACCCTTTATAAAGAGGTAGTTAGGGTTTCTTCAAGGAATATATTCCACCATATCAACAAGTATCACATGGAAGATAATCACCTATGCTAATTAGATTTTCTCCCACTGTCCCAACAGCACCTACAATAAGTCATTGAGTCTCTTCTAACGCTCAACTTAATCATGAGCTCATATCCATCTCCGCAGCACCAAGTATATCCCCGCTGCGGGAATACCTTCCGACCCAACCCTACCTAGTCCAACTCCAACACCAACCCAGTGGAATACTTCTCCGGATGACCTCAATGACGGTCACATCAACACTACTACCATAGATCTTCGTATAAGAAAGCCCTATCCCAGCCCATACTACAATTTCTTCATCTACTACACATCACAGCACATTCCATTCCATCCCCAAAGACACTGAACGAAGAACCAAACCATGAACCTCCTAACCCTCCTCCTAACCGCCCTCTCCCTCCTCCCCACACCCTCCTACACCCAAGAATCATCATCATCATCATCCTCCTCCTCATCCTCCGACGAAGACACCTCCTCCACCTCCTCCTTCACCGTAACCGCCTACCGCTCCAACTCGCCCATCAACAACCTCGCCCTAACCATCTTCTCTGGCCGCTTCTACCTCGGCGGCCGCACCTCCTCCTACTGTCCACCCGGCGTCGCCTCCGAAGGTGAATGTCCCCCAGGAAACGAGACCATAATCATCGGTGATAACGGCCTGGTACATTCCTACCCTCTTATCCCCTTCATCCCCATCCCCCAATCCAAATCCCAACTAACACTCCCCCTCCGGGGGCCTCAACCACCAGTCCGTCTCCGTCCCCGGCGGCCAACAAATCTACATCCTCTCGACCGGCGCCCTCTCCTTCACAGCCCCACACTCCTCCTACATGCCCCCGGGCTCCTCAACCGGCCCATTCAGTTACACGCCCGGCACACCCTACGGAAGCTGGAATTACACGGGATCTCCGGGTGGGTTCATTGCCTGTCCTGTGAAAGGCGGAGCTGGAGGAGGGAGCAGTAGTAGTAGTGTGCCTGGTGGGTCATCGAGTACACCGAAGCCGAGTTCAACGCCTACGCCTAGCAAGCATTCTGGGACGCCTTCTTCGTCGTATGTGAGTCCGTCGGTGAGTCCGTCTGCGACTCCTGGGGCGGGAGGCGGTAGATGGATTGTGTATGTTAATTGGAAGAATGCGACTGTGCCGGGAGGGAATGTTAATGAGTGTTTGGGGTTTGGGGCTAGGGCGTGGGGGAAGAATGCGAGTGTGGGGGCTTGGGAGTATATTTGATCTTTGTTTTTTGTGGAGGGCTTGGGGGGTTTGGATGGGGTTAGGGTTGAAAAGGGGATTTAGTCAGTTTGTATAAGGGTTGAAATGGATGAGGATGGTGTGGTGGTGGTAGTTACTGGTGGTCCATTGGTTTGTTTGTTTGTTGGTATTGAAAATGCATGCATTTAATTTGTTTATTTGGTTATATGTGGTTCATGATAGGAATGGTTTTCGTTAGGATGAAGTATGATAATGTATCATGCATTTAACATGGCAAGAGGATTCGTGTGAAACCAATGTGTTCATTCCATATTCCTCTGTCGTAATGCTCTCAACTGCTCTTGACAGACCATCCTGTCTAATTCGTTCAGCTATCAGACCGTGCTGATCCGAATGTTAGACTCCTTCCCGAAAGTGACTGCAGTCTGGTTTGGAGAGCATATGTCAGTCGACGATAGGTGCTAATAGGATCACTTGGGTTGATTAGCCTAGTTTTTAGAATCCCCACCAGCTGGCAACATTGGTCGATCTGTTCCCGCAGATCGTCTGCCAGCTTGTTGGTTTCTTCTTGCAGCCTATACTTCAACGCTGGCATGCCACCGGTCGAGGCACTTGTCGCTTCGAAGGCTGGTAGAGGCATCTGGGCTACAACGCTCTCGTAAAGGGTCACAGTGTGAGCGAGTGCGGTATAAGTCAGCATCAAAAGGGTTAGGCTGCGATTTTCCTCCTCCGCTTCCAGAAATTTACCTACTACGTTAAGGGAGTGTTCTGTCGTTCTCATTATTATGTCCACTTCTGGTCTGTTCTTGGTGTAATGCTCAAGCATGTAAGTAAACCCTGCGTAGCTTAAGATGTCATTGGCTCCAGTAGGGTCCGCCGCGTTTTGGGGGTCCGGATTTGTAGGCTCTACTGTTTTTTTGCGTGATTCATTGATGCATTCGGCATACCCTGGAAAGGGTCCACTATGATAGCCGTGCAGGTAATTGGAGTCTGGGCCGGCAGCTGGTCCGCTAGAATGGAGATACTCCGTTGGGTACTCGCTGTATGCATTTGACTGAAATGAAGTGCGAGCCTGGACTGGAGACTTCGTAGCACTTTCTGGATCCCAAGGGGAATATAGTAGAGCTTCAGGCTGTTCTTCCGGCTCGTACCCGGAGGGTGTTTGGGCGATTGTTGATCTTTGGATGATTGGGGAAGAGGGATAAGAAGCAGAAGGGTGGTTGATAGAATTAGCTGGGGCTGGAGTCGACAAAATATTGCTGCTGCTCTGCTCAGCGCAAGGCTTCTGTCGTCTGCTTGGCTTATATCCCCCTGGAAGGTCCACACAGTCAATGCTCTCCTTGACACAATGGACGCAGTCACTATATTTGAGCTGTCATTGTGGTTAGTTCACGAATCGAACGAGAATACACTGGTGAAGTGATCTGACCATACCTTGAAACGACCGCAGTTGATGCACTGAGATGGTGTCATGTCTGTAGTACTGGGGTTTAGATTTTGTTGAAATCAGTCAGGCAGGAGAATGTGATACTTGTAATTGTAGCAAGAGTTCGTCTCGCGGTCTTCTGTAACTTGACCAGTATAAACGGTTATTGTATAAGTGGAGAGAGAAGCATTTATACCACAGTTCAACGGATGTTAGAGTGACTCTTCATGATCACTACTTCTCGGTATTTACCGAGAAATCCAAGCCGCTGGTGAGCTGCTTGTATTCACCCACTTCAAGCTCCTCAGAGAAGCATAGAATGATTTGGATATCTGCATCTTGATCGTTGAATACGAGCATTGCGGAACTGTAAATCAGGTAAGCTTGCAAACAATAGAATATCTCCGTATCATCGATGCACGAGCATCTTGACTACGATTAGCATCCATACAGAAGATTACTCTGTGATAAGAATGTTGTTGGAATACAGGCAAGACAATGCCACCTCCCTTCTTTGTCTAAGGTATAATGTGGCTAGCTCCGCGGCTGCCTAGTTGGGCTCGCATCATACCTACGTCTTACACAAAGTCTACTCGAACATCAACACAATCGACACCACCATGGTTCTTTCCAATGAAATGATTTTCACCTTCTTCCGTTCAGACGCTCCAGGCTCCTTGCAATTTTTCAATCCACCGCTAGCATGTCCTCTCCTGCACAGCAGCAAGATCTCCCCGGAATGTCCCCAGATATCGAAAAAGCCAGAGAGCGCATCTCCCGCTACTCCAACCAGGAACGACTCCACGAGACCAAGCTGAAAGCAACACTAGACGCATCTCTCCAATGGCTACCAAACGGCGGGAAAGAAGCCCTCGCTAGTGAAATCCTAGACGCAACGACTGATGATAGGCTTCACGAGATCTTCTTCAATATTCTCACGATCCTAGTCTGGCCAGGTAAGTGATCACTCGAGAAGATAACAGAACCAGTACCACTGACATACGAGACAAGCCATACTCCAGTCAGAAGCAAGCGAAGTCAAAACATCCCCAGACCAGCTTAGTCCTTTGGGAAATCACCAGCAAGGCACAGAGGAAGATTGCCTGAAGCGTGATGGCTCCTGCTGCGTCGTTACAGGGGCTATGGATGTAGAAACGTATTCCGACAAAGGCAGACCAGAGGGCTTGGTTAGTACCCATGTGCAGATAGCGCACATCATGCCGTATCTCATTTCCTACTGGAACCAATCTGCAGTGAGTTTCCCCCCTGTATCTATTGATTGTCTGCCAGTAATACAGATAATTGAAATATAGATGATGACCACTGTCTGGAATACCCTATGCCGCTACTTCCCTGCCATTCACCAAGCCCGAATGAAAGCCGGTTGCGCCAATGCCCTAGTCAACAGCCTATCAAATAGCTTCTTGATGGATATTCCAACGAATCTAGTATTCAGTCGTTTCGCTCTCGCTTTCGAAGAAACCGTAAGTCACTACTTTCACATCATTATTCCTTCTACTTCATTATATTGATACCCCCGGATCAAACAGGACCGCCCAAACGTCTACAAAACCGTACGATTCAGAGCGTGTCCAACTAGCCTACTGATACCCGATGAGATCGAGTTCAAGCCAATAGCGGCGTCTGGTTCAGAACATCTGGAACTACCCAGCAAGGATCTCCTCGATTGCCACTACCGTCTCGCACAGATCCTCAACGCCTGTGGTGATGATATGGCTTTCTTACCTGGTAAATACCGGGATCATTGGAAGTACCAGATCAGGTGGTATGTCCAGTCAATGCTCGATGGGGATGCTGATCTTAGTGGATATTTGAAGACTGCGCTATTGGGGCGGGCGGTAGAGGGTGATAGTAGTTGATACTATATTGGATTCTCAAGTTAAGTTGTAGCTAGTTAGTTATGTACTGGTCTGAAATTGCAATTAGTATTAGTACCTTAATCTGTTTTATGGTTACGCATTTTTCTATTTAGGGTTGTTGTACCATCATGTAGAGGATCCAGCTAAGGACACCATCACCTCTCTTTAATATCAATCAACATGAATAATATGGTTCTACGTATCTCGCTACATTAATGAATGTGATGACTCATTCTTGATAGCTGAGGTATTGGAAAGACAGGACATGTAGCATGACATTATCAGGTGGCAGCAACTCATGTAATCGATACCGATGAAGTCTTAATTTATCCTCTCCTAAGTTGGTCTATAGACCATACTAACATATCAACAGCAGAATAAAACAGGACTACTCAACGCTGAACTAATGAGATTACATCTCTATTCCAAAGTGGGCTAAATCCTTCAACTTACAATTCATACTGATAATAATCCTAGAGGAAATGCATTCATTCATTCAATATATGATATGCCATAGTAGCAATCGCAAGAGCAATGATGATAATAACAATGATAATAAGTCCAGCCTATCAAACCCACAAACCCATTCATCCTAATAATATGAACAATTAAAACCCATGCCATAAACATATCGTAACACCATTACGTCCGAAATCAACTGCAAGCAAGCAAACTAGCTACTCAGCTCACAGCTTAGCAGCCGGCTCGGCCTTGCCCGCCGACGAGATCTCATTGTACAACAAACTCGTCAGGAAATCGGCATAGTCCTCGCCCGTCACCTGGCCGGCAAAGTACCGCGCTGCGAGCTGGAACTTGTTGCCCTGGGGACCCTTGGCGGCCAGACTGTCAGCCTGCTCTTGCAGGAGACGCAGAGCATATGCCTTGTCGACCTTCTTGCCGTCGGATGTGGTGATGCCGTGGTGCGTCCATTGCCAGAGCTGACTGCGGGAGACTTCGGCGGTGGCGGCGTCCTCCTATTTCTTTGTTAGTATACATTCTATATCGTGCGTGAGAAATAGGGAAGAGATTGGGACGTACCATCAGGAAGTTGATGGGAATGCAGCCCACACCGCGGAGCCATCCCTCCATGTAGGACAGACCGATGTTCAGGTTCTTGCGGATGCCGTCCTCGGTGATCTTTCCGGGGACGTTGGTGTTCAGGAGATCGTTGGCGGTGATGTGGACGTCCTCACGGCGGACGAACAGCTGGTTGGGGGTGGGCATGTAGGTGTTGAAGATCTCCGAGGCGATGGAGGCCAGGGCAGGGTGGGCAACCCAGGTGCCGTCGTGGCCGGCGCGCACTTCACGCAGCTTGTCGGCGCGCACGCTCTCCATGGCCTTGTCGTTGGCGGTGGGGTCGTTCTTAATGGGGATTTGAGCGGCCATGCCTCCCTGTAGAATTATTAGTATCATCTTCAAATAACGCTTTGATATTTCCGGGGGGAGTGGACCCACCATAGCATGAACTCCTCTGCGGTGGCAAGTCTTAATCAACAACTTCACATACGCATCCATAAACGGCACGGTCATAGTAACATCCGAACGATCCGGAAGCACAAAGTTGGGGTGCTTGCGGAACTTCTTAATGAAGGAGAAGATGTAATCCCAGCGACCACAGTTCAATCCGGAGCTGTGTTCGCGCAGCTCGTAGATAATCTCATCCATCTCGAACGCCGCCGAGATGGTCTCGATCAGCACGGTACCACGGATCGTTCCGCGCGGCATACCAATGTAGTCCTGAGCCAGGTTGAAGACGTCGTTCCACAGACGCGCCTCAAGGTGCGACTCCATCTTGGGGAGGTAGAAGTACGGGCCGAACCCGCGGGCAACGAGCTCCTTGGCATTGTGGTAGAAGTACAGACCAAAGTCGAACAGACTGCCGGAGATGGGGGTGCCGTCGACAGTGAAGTGCTTCTCGTCGAGGTGCCAGCCACGAGCGCGAGCAATGAGGGTGGGGAGCACGCGGTCTGTCCGCAGCTTGTATTCCTTACCACCCTGTGTGAAGTCGACCTGGCGGCGGATGGCGTCGTAGAGGTTAACTTGGCCGTTGATCATGTTTTCCCAGGTGGGGGCGCTGGAATCTGTTTGTTGTTAGATGCTATTCTCTCTCACATATACTCCGGGAAGGAAGGGCGTACCCTCAAAATCAGCCATGTATGTCCAGACATCCGAGTTCAACGCGTTGACAACCATCTTGCGATCTGTGGGACCGGTGATTTCCACACGGCGGTCGACGAGACCCGGAGCCGGGGGAGCACCCTTCCAGGCATCGTTTTCACGAATGTGCTTTGTCTCGGGCAGGAAGTCGGGGAGGTGACCCTTGTCGATCTCGGCCTGGCGGTCAATGCGACGCTGGAGGAGGGCCTTGCGAGTAGGGTTGAAGGTGCGGTGGAGGATGGCGAGGAAGGCACAGGCGTCCTTGGTGAGGATCTTGCGAGCTTCCGAGCTCACATTGCCGAGGATGACGACGTCCTTGAGTTGGGTGTCGACTTGCACCATGGTGGAGGATGGATTGAGAGTCTTTATCTTATCGGGAAGTATATGAGGGGGGAGGGTATACTAGATACTATCCGGACCGGCAGGATAGAAGTACTGGAGATGAGATGATATGAAGAAGGAAGTAGCGAAGAAGACTTTCAAGAACAACCAGCACTATTATAAGCTACCAGATGTGGAGGGAGAGCAAGAGAATATATGTTCTACACAGCGACTACGTCAGTCCCACCATTCACTTCACTAACCGCGGTCCATGGGGAGTCCCGATAAGCTGGATTGAACCCAAAATGAGGGCTGCTCCAGAGCTTCTAGTACACGTGACTTTTCCGCGGGAAACCCAGCAGCGATTCGGCCGATAACGGGCGGGGCACGCCGGCTACCGATTCCGACTTACGGCTTATCGTTCAGGCCGAGTACTTCTTACTCGATACATTCGAGTACTATACTCTCTGTAGTGACCACTATATTAACGATACTATCCTGGAAGATCTCGAGATGATTCCCGACGTGGGTCGGTACTTGCTGGCTCTGTTGCAGCTGCCCAGCTGCACTCACTGCATCGTCCACTCAGTAGCCACTCACGCAGTCAACCGAGGATGTCGATAAGCTCCTAAACTCCCCGCAGGCCCGAGAGCCTTCCTCCCAACCGCGGTTCGCCGCCATCCTGCTGCCCTGTACTGCTCCTCTCCTCCGTCCCTCCTGGAGCAAGCTTCCTGCGGTCCGGCCATCGCCTACACTCGACCGACTTGTCCCGATTGTGATACGGTGCTTTTTCTGATGCGGTAAAGCTGTACCATTGCTTCAGTGACTCACTCATGGCTTCAAAAATTCGAACAAGATGAGAATGCCACAGCTACTCTATGTATGCTCGTTCAATTCGCTACGCACATGCTATACGCCTATTATGAAACAAGGATCAAAAGTACATCCAGTCATCTCTTCCACATGTGAACGCATGTGATCGCTGTCAACTCTAACTCCCGCTGCTCTCCCGACCCCAGCTCCAGCTCGGGTTGCCACGGATTTGTCTGCAGCCAATCTGTACCGTCCGATCTGGACCAGTCTGGGCAAAACAGGGAAGCAAAAATAACAAGGTAACACGGGCTTCTAATCTGCCAGCTGCTGGCCTGTACACGCAGCTCCGTCCACCCGGTTACACAGTCTCAATATACCGTCGGACCTCCCTGTCAATAGTCAGTATTATCATCTTACTGCAGCCAGCTCCGCCACTCACCAATCCGTGACGGCCTCCTCCCACAAGCGCACTTCATGCTCCCGCGTGCCCCCAAAATGCTCCACAAACGCATCGCCAAAGACCTCCCGTGCGACACTGTCTTTGCGCATGAACGCCGTCGTGGCTTCCCGCAGCGACTTGGCTAATCGGACGCCCTTATCGCTTGCCCCGCCCATATCCTCGCCCTTGGACAACGGCGGAACCGGAATCTTCAGCTTCTTCTCCACACCCCGCCATCCCAATGCAACAACTGCTGCTAGAACAAAATGCGGGTTTGCGTCAGCCCCCGGTACACGCACCTCCAGCCGGGTTGCTTTTGCGCTCGCCGTAGGTGGGGTGATAAGCCGAATCGAGGCCGCACGATGCTCCAGTCCCCAGGAGACCGTAACCGGCGCCCAGAAGTTCTCCACCAGCCGCTTGTAAGAGTTCACCGTGGGTGCAAACATTGGCATGATATCAGGAAGACCAGTGAGGACCCCGGCTAGGAAATGTCGCCCTAGATCGGAGAGATAAGCCACATCGGGATATGGCGGGTTTGGGTCGGGCGTGTCGCGGATGAACGCATTCTTCCCATCGCTCGAGACCAGTGAGATGTGCATGTGTCCGCTATTCCCGGGTAATCCCTCGCGTGGCTTGGCCATAAAGGTGGGTGTGATGCCGTGCTTGGTGCCGATTGACTTGACGACGTATCTGGAACAGTCAGTTTGATCTTTTGTAGCTTGAAGTCACTCACTTGAAAAGACCAGCTTTGTCGGCCATCTCTTTGGCCTCTCCGAATTGTAGCGCCTGCTACCGTCAGCAAGGACCATAACGTCACCCAATGCAACCTACCGCCTCATAAACACCCGGACCGCTCTCTGTATGCCAACCCTCGATTTCGCAATTGAATTGCTCGCAGGCATCGAACACTCCATAATAGTAGTCTTGGTTGTGAATGGGACGGGTCAAACTGTACCCGAACATGCCCTCCGTCAGCGGGGGCAGAGACTCGACGGGGTTCTCCTTGAGGAATGTTGCCGTGGCCGACGCATTGCGCTCGGGGTTGGAGTGCGTGCCTGGCGCGCGGAACTGATAGAACTCATATTCCGCTAGGAAACCGTCAGCGAGTCTCAAGAAGAATATGACGAAAGCGCTTACCCCCCGCCATGGCACGATACCCCGCAGCCTCCGCCTTCCCCAGAGCGGACTTTAATAGTCCCCGCGGGCAAGCACAGACCGGCTCATTTGTATCGGGATCCAAAAAGCTAACCAGAAAGAATGGCACATTATTCTCCCAAGGGATCCGGCGGAAACTGCTCAGATCCGGAACTGCCACGAGATCGCGGTACCCGTTCTCCTTGTTGCTGATGGTCAATTCCTTGAAGTATGTGCGGTCATGCATATCCCAGCCAAAGATGACGGAGCAGAAGCCAAAGCCATCAGCTACGATGGAGAGGAACTTCTTCTTGGAGACGAGCTTGCCACGGAGCATGCCGTCGACGTCGACACCGGCCAGCTTGACCCGGGTGTCATTCTGGAGGACATGGGCGACATTCTCGAGGGTGACTTCATAGGGTGGGGTGGTAGAGGACATGATGGTGAACGGGTTGTGACACGAGCAGATTGAGGATAGTACTGCTCGTGGAGAGAACTGACCAGCAGTGAAATTGGGGGGATGAGGGGAATGACGGTGAGGAGGCGAGCGGGACGCAAGGACGTCAGCCACCGCTGCTTATCAGTTGGAGGACCGTCACGGGGTCCGCCATGCTGATACTTGAAGCCACAGTGATTGGGATGTTTGCAGCCCTTATCATCTGTCTTGTCCAATGGTGACAGATACAGAGCTTGTTTGGCAATGAATGATGAATATTCAACCAATACCAAACCGGCACACGAGCAGATGCAGTGTGCATGGTGGCCTGCGTGCCTGACAGCTGCCTGCCTTATCGGGATCGCCATTAGATAAGCGGGCTCCACTGTCCCGCATTCCTGCTTCATCATCCCTGCTTCTCTTGCATATCTCTCTCTACTCACTTCTTCATTGTCATTCTCGTTGTCCTCGCTGGTACTTCATCAATTGTCTCTATCCTTGATTGATTCTACTCTATATATCTTAGGGATATCTCAGGGTATGACAATTCCATATAGTCACCCACAATGCCATCCACTCTACCCCGCACCATCCCCACTATCCACCATCACAGCTAACACAACCCCAGAATCATGGCATCCGCTCCTAGAGGTCGTCTCCAAGGCAAGAATGCCATCATTACTGGTGCAGCTGGGTAAGCTACACGCCCCTGAACCCTCAATATCCCTATCGACCATCCCGCTGACCAACCCAGCGGCATCGGCCTCGAAACCAGCATCCTGTTCGCCCGCGAGGGCGCCAACGTCCTAATGGCCGACATCTCCGCCCCCGCCCTCGAGAAAGCCCTCGCCAAAGTCAAAGAAGTCGTTCCCACCGCTCCCCGCGTCGAGACCATCAAGTGCGACGTCTCCAAGGAATCCGACGTACAAGCCATAGTCGAGTCCCAGGACAGCTGGGGCGGCACAGACGTCATCTTCAACAACGCGGGTATCATGCACGCCGACGATGCCGACGCGGTCGACACCCCCGAGAAGATCTGGGATCTGACGCATAACATCAACGTCAAGGGTGTGTGGTTCGGATGCAAGCATGCTGTGCTGAGTCTGCGTCGTCACAAGAAGACCAAGGGCAGCATCATCAACACGGCGAGTGTGGTCGCCTTGGTGGGAAGTGCTACGCCTCAATTGGCGTACACGGCTAGTAAGGGTGCTGTGTTGGCGTTGACGCGCGAATTGGCCATTGTGCATGCGAGAGAAGGATTCCGGTTTAATGCGCTGTGTCCGGCGCCGTTGAAGTTGGTCTTCCCCTTTCTTTGATCATGGTGATGGGTATGGTTACTGACATGTTGTAGCACTCCCCTTTTGCAAGATTGGTTGGGTGACGACAAGCCCAAGCGCTTCCGGCGGGAGGTGCACTTCCCTACTGGTCGGTTCGGAGAGGCTATTGAGCAGGCTCATGCCGTGGTGTTTTTGGCTAGTGACGAGAGCAGTTTCGTCAATGGCAGTGACTTTGTTGTGGATGGTGGAATGTCCAAGGTATATACCTATTAATTGTTTGTTTGGTCAATACTAACTAGATGTAATAGGCGTATGTTACTCCAGAGGGACCGGCCACTGCCGCTCCTCAGAACCTGGGGCATTAGTATAGCCATCCTACGATATATGAATTGAATGATCTTGAAAATCCGTCTTGAAAGTCCAGTACTACACTATCAACCACAATAATGAACCTATGTAAATCAATTCATCTCTAAAATCTATCAAAAAAGTCTATAACCATCATCCCCACCACAACAAGAAGCAGAATCTATCAACTAAATCTTCTTCAACCCCAACACCCCCTCCTCCCGACTCAACGTCGTAAACCGACTAAACCCCCCAGCCCCCTTCTCCTCATCCACCCCATTCCTCCCACTCCCACCACCAACACCCTGAATAGTATTGCTCTCATCCCCCCGCTTCGCCGCCCACCTCCTCACAAAAACCCTCTTAACCCACTTCCACCCCTCGACACCGCCCAAAAACAGCCCCGCCTCGACAAACACCACCCCCCACTCCCACCCAATCCCAATATGCTTAAACACCACATCATTAATCACAGGGATATACAGCACGGGAAACGTAAGCACGAATCCGATCACAATGCCCCAGAAGAGATACTTGTTGCGGTAGATGTCGGAGAGCCAGCCTGTGTATTTATTTCTTGGCTTGGAGTTGGAGGTAGAGGGGGTAGGGGTAGAGTCATGCATATTGAACAGACTGCGCCGCAAATGCATCATCTCCCAGGCCAGAAGCAGCGCGAACCAGGTCATGCAGACGAAGGTGGTGGCGCGGGCGCGGAAGACCGTGTCGCAGGGGGTTGAGTAGCTGCTGTTGCATTCTGTTGCGAGGTTGCCGTCGCCCCAGGCGAAGAGGACGAGGGTGAAGGCACTGAGGCAGAGAGCGGCCATCCAGATGCCGTAGACGAGGGTGTCGATGATGATTTCCGGGGTGAAGATGCCGTTTTTCTGTTCATCGTCCATTGTTAGTGTATGGTGTTATATGGTAATGGGGAAAGGGGGAAAGGGGGAGGGCGTACACTCTGCGGCGGTCTATCCATCACATCACTCGCCGCCATCTCCATTCCCAGTCCGATATCAGGCAGTCCGGACGTGATCATGATAATCCAGAGGATTTCCACCGGTGCGATAGGGAACACACTCTGGCCGTTCTCGTCTTTGAAGACCAGTCCGATCAGTAGGGTTAGCGCTAACCCTACGTTCTCTGCGAGTAGATGCAGTACGAATTTTTGGATGTTGTCGAAAATGCGACGGCCCTCTTCGATACCGTTGATAATACTTGCGAAGTTGTCGTCTGTTAGGACCAGCTCCGATGCATCTTTTGCCACGTCGCTGCCTGCTTGGCCCATTGCGATCCCCACGTCTGCCCGCTTCAGTGACGGCGAGTCGTTCACTCCGTCGCCTGTCATCGCGGCGTACCGGCCGCGGCGGTGCAATGCCTCGATCATCCGCACTTTGGTGTGCGGGGCGCAGCGCGCGATCACGGCGGGGAGGGTTGGTAGAGCGTCGATTTCGGACTCGCTGAGGGAGTCGAATTGACTGGCTGTCATGACGAGGTTGTCGGCCACGTCGCGCGAGAGGAGCTGTGCGTTGGCCGGGATGATGCCGACTTGGGCGGCGATGGCTCGAGCGGTGCCTGGGTGGTCGCCTGTTACCATGTGCACGGAGATGCCGGCGCGGTGGCATTCTTCGATGGCTCCTGCGGTTTCTGGGCGAGGGGGGTCGTAGAGCCCGATCAAGCCGGCGAAGGTGAGGTCTTGTTCGACGGTGTCCCGGGGTGGGACGTCAGTGAAGGTGGAAGTGCTGGTACGGTGGGCGAGGGCGAGTACGCGCAGGCCTTCGCGTGCCAGCGCTTCCATGTTTTGGAGGATGGTGTTGCGGATGTCGTCGGTTAGGGGCACGGGTTCGGAGGTATCGGTGGTCCAGACGATGGATGTGCAGGCTTCGAGGACACGTTCCACAGCACCCTTGGTGAAGATCACGTCGGTGTCGTCGCGACGGAAGATAACAGACATCTTTTTGATGGTCGAGTCGAAGGGGTACTCGGCCTGCTGTGTCCAGACGGGCTTGTCACCTGCGGTCCATCTTTCCCGGCCCCAGTCGAAGCGCGCTGCGAAGACCTGGATGGCGATGTCGGTGGGCTCGCCACGGGCTTGCCATTGTCCGTTTTCTTCGGAGCGGTGCACGTGGGCCAGGTTGGCCATGGCTGCGACGTCCAGATAGCGCTGCAGTAGGGCATTGTCTGTCACTATCTCTTGCGGCGTCTTGGTGTCGCCTTCGCTTTCTCCTTCTCCGGGCATGGCGTCGATGACCTTGAGCTCGCCGTCATACGGGTCCAATGGGTCACGGGAGACTCCGACTGAGACTGTACCCAGCCCTGGTACCCAGGCCTTCTTAGCCACCATGCGTCCTTGGGTGAGAGTGCCCGTCTTATCGGAGCAGATGTTCGACACGGCGCCCAATGCCTCGAGGGAATCCATCTTCCGTACAATCACGTTCCTCTCGACCATCTGCTTCGTGCCCATGGCCATGGTGACCGTCAACACGACCACGAGACAAGCAGGGATCATAGCCAATCCGGTAGCCACGGCGTAGATAATCACTTCCTTGTCATCGCGCATGTCATTTGCGCCCATCACAATGATTGCAAATACTACTGCAATTCCGAACAATAGCAGGGCCAGCTTACTCAGTTTCCGCTGGAGTGGTGTCCCCACGTTAATCCCCAGGAACCGACCCACTGCATCTGTGCATGTCAACGTCCAAGCCACCACGTACCACCGCTTCTTGGTCTCGCCTTGAGGACCGCGACGGACAGGCCGGCGCCGCTGGTTGCCATTCTCCCGGAGTGCCGCGGCAATCGCACCGATCTCGGTTTTCATACCAGTGCTAATCACCACGCCGCGCGCGCGGCCCCGGGTGACGGTGGAGGAGCTGTATGCGATGTTAAGACGGTCGCCGGGCCCAGTGTCAGCGGGGAAGGTTGTAGTAGATGATTTGGTAACGGGGAGGGATTCGCCAGTAAGAAGGGCTTCGTCTGTTTCAAAGTTCATCGTCTCCACTAGTCTATTTGGTGTTAGATCATTATCTCATTATGAATATATCATGGCGTAGCAAATGTATGACGCATACCGTAAATCAGCCGGAACTGTATCTCCCACTTTCAAATCGACCATATCGCCCACGACAATCTCCATGGCGGGAATGGTGCCCGTCTTGCCGTCACGGGTGACGACTCCTGTGGGCGAACTGAGGCCGCGTAGCGAGTCCATGGTCTTCTCGGCGGCGTAGTCCTGGTAGACGCCTACGATGATGTTCAGGGCGATAACGGCCCCGATGACTCCGCCTTCGATCCAGGATTCAATGCCGAAACTGACGGCCATGGCGATGATGAGGACCTGGATAGTAGATCATGTTAGCGAGATGAAGACATGATAGGAGAAGTGGACAACTTACCAACATCATTGCGTTTGCCACCTGGCGGATGATAATCTTCGCAAGGGAGATGCCCTCGTCCCCTTCGAGTTCGTTGGGTCCCCATTTCTGAAGGCGGGACTTTGCTTCCTGGGTGCTGAGACCTTCTTCGGAGTTGACAGAAAGCTCTTGCAAGACGGAGGCATAGGGAAGGGTGTGGGCGGGGGCGGAGAGGGGAGAGTGGGAGGGGGTGGAGGCAGTCTGAGACTGTTTCTCAGTGCCCATATTGGGGTATCTGTGTGTGTTGTTTCTGTGTCTGTGTGTAATGCTTGGGGTTTCTCTACTAAAGGTAGGAAATCACGGAGGTGTCATGTAGAATGTATCCTCTATGGAATGAGAGTCCATACACGTGAGGTGAAGCAGTGAATTTATCTGATCTGATCTGGTCTAGATCCTGATCCTTGCTAATTCCAATTCTAAACTCTCTCTTCGACATGATCCCGGGGAATTCCTCCTTCTTATAAGTGTTTCTGTATCGCCGGACCTGGAAGTAGTCTTGGCATTCAGTATAGACACCCAAGGCCGAGCAGAACTGCCCAGCCCGCCAAGCGCCAATCACAGAACCCCCGGAAGCGATGCCTTGGCGCCAACCTTGGGCGCGAAGTCGACGAGTCTCGCCTCTTTCGGGATTATGACGCATACGACCACAGCATTCCGCCACGTGAGCCAGTACGAGCATCGAGACCCGAGTTCGAGCGATATGATTGGTGCAGCGGCCCAGTGGCCCCAGCGGAAACGCCAAGGTGTTCCGGAGCGCGGAGACTTGGCGCCTCCTGAGGCAATGATACAGCCTGCACCGCAGGGTGACTGTCCGGTGGCCTTGGCGTGCTGCTGCGCGGGGTCTGAGGGCCACTCGCTGGCTCAACTTTAAATGCAGCCGTCTCTGTCCTCGGAGACCTGCCCCAATTCCCCCGCCGGTGATGGATCCCATTCCCAGTATCCCCCCATGCAACCATCCCCACTACCTCACCCCTGCTGACGCTGCTGATGCTGCTTTGGAAGCTGTCGTGAGGAGTGAGTCGCTGGCTTCGAGCCGATTTATCCGACGCGTCATCTCCTGAGCGCGGTTGACCTATCGATCTTATCTTTGTTGTTGTTCCTCCGTATACTTCCGATGGCTGGGGATACGCACCACACCGGCATAGTGGGTGTGATTGTGGGTGCAGTGGTGTTGTTTGTGGCCTTGAGTACGATCCCATTGTGAGTTCTAGTGTTCCAGTGTCCCCTATTGGAGGCTCAACTGCTGCATGCATGCCTGGTGGAGGATGCTGCATGCTGGTTGAATTTCATTGTTTAGATGTATCTAACCTGACAGTATCGTGCTGTACCATCATCGTCGACGAGCAACTGCCAGACGCAGTAGCGAACTCCGCAACCTCACCGATGGCGGCATAATGCGGCAGGTATCGGTCGATCGATGGCTGGACGAGCAGACACACGCGAGCTGCGAGGATCGGTTATACGCTCAGGAATCCTGGTAAGGCTGTTCTCCTTTGGGTGGCGCCAACGCTTGGCCGAGATGCGGGGACACATTGCTGGTAGCGGTCTTGGCCGGACTTGCGTTCCATAGAACTGATGCATGGCTTCCTTGGTAGTCCCATCTGTCTGTCAACCCTAGCAGCGTCCCAAGATACCCTTCCTTTTCCCGAGCCGGCATGGGTCGCACCATCACCCCACGACGAGCCCAACCTGCATGACACAATGGAGGCCGATCGAGTGTCTGGGAGGAGAAACATCCTGGTCCTCAACCGTTGCCACCATGTCTTCCATGCGTCCTGTCTCGCATCATGGTTCGAATACCATCAGTATAGATGCCCGATTTGTCAGACATCATATTTCAGCGAATAGCCCGCTACAACATTGCAGATAGTCAGTGACCGCAATGGAAAGTCTTCGTTCCCGCGTATATCTTTTGCCAAGACTAGTGCTATGGTTGGCAAACTCTAAGTCCATCCATATTCATTTGACTCGTTCGAACAGGGTCGTCACCATGACCACGATGTCACCTTCAGAACCAAGCATAATCGTTGTGCATGGCAGGCCCTGAATGAGTGCGATACTGTACGACCACTAGCTGCATGGCTAGAGCGTAGCGTATGTTGGTAGTCGGGGAAGTCTCCACGATTTGGCTAGGATCCTCTTCAAGAAACTTTCTAGAACACTCGTCAGGCAGATCCCTGGCCTATTCTAGCCTTATCGTCGTTGCCACTGGGATGCAGACATCCTATCAACTCGCTTCAACATCTAACCGAGTGCACTACTGTGCGCACAATGGCCTTCGTCCGTGCGCAAATGGATCGCCTCCTTGGATTATCTCGTCAAACCGTGCGCTGACCCGGCTGTAGTTGAGCCCGTAGCGACCAAGCTCGCGCAGCCGAAATGACACCCAGTCTTGGTATATCCTGTCGGATGTGGCAATCCCCGCGATGAAGAGAGGCCACGTGATGCGCACCATCAAGTGCGGTCTGCTGCGATGTAGCCTCAGAGAAAGTTCCAGAACCTGGGATACGGCATCATGCAGGGTCATCATCCCTGCACCCTGCAGTCCTTTGGCCAGGGTGTCTTTGAAGCACAGGTGAAAATACACAATTGTGCCGTAGTAAGTAATGGCTGCCCAAAAGATGGTTTCCATCACGCGACGTCCGTCACCCACGACTTCACACGAGGGCGCAGACTTGGCGGAACTCAACAAGGTATCGAATTCCTGATCAGTGGATTAGTCGCTTTCGGCCATCCATGTGCAGACATGACAGGTCATCTGCAGGGATGAGACGGAAACTTACATCAGATAACACGTTGAGCTCACTGATGATCTCAAGGCCCGACTTGATTGAAGGATTTCCTTGCCGAAATAACTCCGTGATCTTGAATTGCAGTACATGACTTCGATGATACAACGATAGCCCCGGCATATTCTCCATATCATCCAATTGGGCTGTGGTGGGGTAGGAATCGCCCCAGAATCGAGACGGGGACTGTCTGCCAATCCTATACAGCTCGGAAAGACTCAATCCCGCACTTCCTGCTTCGTCTTGCATGAAAAACCGGAACAGGTCGGCATCGAGCCTGGCAGCACCTGGGCCAGAGAGCAAAGCGCCCGGTGTGAAGAAGTACAAAGTCCAAAGCAGGAAAAGAGGGACCGCTGTATGTCGAAGTCTGTCTTTGGACAAATCTGCGGTCTGTTGCAGCGCAGGGCTCTCGCATGCGCTCATACTCTGTGCCTCAACTGCGACATTACATATCGCAGTTGGTGAATTTGTCTCTGCATTTGCGACGTTTGGAGGCTCTAGTTGTTTGAGTGACGGGACGACATGGTTGAAGAGTAAACTCTCGATTCCGCGAATGTGGATATTAATTCCAGCAGTCCCGCTGCCGAATCGGTTCTCATAATCAATCATCATCCACAAGGTAATGAAGATGGCTTCAATCTGCGCCGGGGACTTGACGTCTGGTTTCAGCGCTTCCCGAAGACCAGAGAGAGCCCGGCCATAGTGCAACCTACTGTCCATGTCGGACAGGTTCTCAATGGTACATTGTCCGTCCGTCTTGTCCCGGTCGTACAAACGCGACCGGTTGATCTCACTTGACGTAGTCGCCAACATCATGCTCATAACCATGGGTTCTTTAACTGCTATTTTATGGTATGCATAAGACACTGTAGACCACGGCCAATGCTTACCAAGGATCACGACCAGCGCAGAATCCTGAAGATAATTCAAGCACGAGCGATCAAAGTCCGATATCACCAGGGAATTGGCCGCTTGGATGCTGTTCCCAGCACCACCGGTGGGCGATAAAGAACGCGCAGGAGACGGGACAGGCTGACAGACCATCTGCACTTCCAGCGGGCGAGTGTCTCTTCCGGGCCTTTTAGCTGGGCCCCGGGGGATGGGGCCGCCCCTCCACTCACATACGATCCGGGCCGCAGTGCAACGCCGGCATTGTGGTTCCTGCTGGCCAGGAACGAATAGTTTCTCTTCGTCGCATTTGACCTTGCGAATTCTACACGTGCGACAACCTGTGGTGCAGTAAGTCCGACCATTCTTAGAAAGAAACACCGAAAAAAGCAAACCTAGATAATTGGTGTAAGACAGAACTGGTGGGGATCCTTACCGGTCTTGGACCGAGTCCTCCTGCCGAGCCCATGCATCGTCTATCGGTTCTATCGCGTGCTTGCCGTTGCTCCACTTACTCGCGGTGTGCCTGTCAGGGAGGAATGTCCTGTCAGACTTGACATGTATCCTGGTCAGAATCAGGGCCATTAGAGACACCGAGCCGAGACAAACCAACCAGGAGGACATCAAAAGGAGAGGGGGGAAGAGAAAATGCGGAGAATTGAATCGCCAACCGATGCTCTTTTTTCCCTCCTGCCGCCATTCCTGCCGAGCCTCGCCCGCCGATTGGCTGCATCGGCACCGGTCATGTGACCTCGGTATCGGCAATTGTGATGGCTTCAACTGTACCAAATGCAGTAGTAGATAGTCTAGTAGTAGTAGATAAGTTGTTTCCTATCGCTTATCACTAAGATACTGATAGCCCCCTCTCGGATCTCCGCAATCAATGCGGAGAACCATCTCCACCATGCACGATCCAACTAGTATAAAATGCCGTACATGCCAGTCTCCAACTCTAGCACCTGAGTCTTAATACAATTCAACCCTAATACTTAGTACACACCAACCACAACCATGCAGCTCGAAGCAACACAACAACGCTTCATCGCCAGCGTCGAAGAAGCCCTCCACAGACATGCCTCCGAGCTAGAAGACATCAACAAGAAGGCAAGCCCCAACACACACACACCCATACCTCAACACACCTACTAACTACCAACCCCAGATCTGGTCCACCCCGGAACTAGCCTACACAGAATACCAAGCCCACGACAACATCTGCACACTCTTCGAAACCCTCCAACGTACCAACCCATCCTACCGCATCCAACGCTCCGCCTACAACCTCCCAACCGCCTTCGAAGTAACCTACACCCACGGCAACAGCACCGGCGGCCGCACCATCGTCTTCAACGCCGAATACGACGCCCTCCCCAACATCGGCCACGCCTGCGGCCACAACCTGATCGCAACGAGCTCCATCGCCGCCTTCATCGCCACCTGCGAAGCCCTCAAACACCAAGCCCCAAAGGACTCCAACTACACCATCCGCCTCCTCGGCACCCCCGCCGAAGAATCCGGCGGCGGGAAAGTCCGTCTCCTCGACAATGGCGCCTACAAGGACGTCGACGCCTGCCTAATGGTCCACCCCATCCCCATGGCCCCGGGCCATCCGGAACTACTGAGCTTGGCCACAGTACTCCCCGGTGGGTTCCTAGCGAATGACAAAGTCACCGTAACGTTCACGGGCAAGCCGGCGCATGCGGCCGCAGCGCCGTGGGAGGGCGTGAATGCGTTGGATGCGGTGGTCGCGGCGTATGTGAATATCTCGCTGTTGAGGCAGCAGATTCTGCCCACGCAGAGGATTCATGGTGTTGTGGCTAGTGGAGGGGATAGGCCGAATGTGATTCCTATGTCGGCGTCAGTGGATTATTATATTCGCTCGCCGACGAAGAAGGGTTTGAAGGCGCTGACGGAGAAGGTGGTTAAGTGTTTTGAGGCGGCCGCGTTGGCGACGGGGTGTGGGGTGGAGTTTGAGTGGTGAGTAACCTTTCCCCCCCCCCCTTGCAATACTATACGATACTCGTTTGTTGCTAATGCATGGTGGGGTAGGGGTGTCTCATACGACGACCTCAAAACCAACAATCCTATATGCGAGAGCTACGTCTCTGTTATGCGCGCGATGGGCCACCACACGGTGATGAATAACGCCGGGCAGGCTGGTAAACTTACTGGCGCGTCTACTGATATGGGTAGGTCAACCCACAAAATACACATCATAGTAGTCCTAGATTCAGATTGATTAACGATGGTAATTACAGGAAACGTTTCTTACGCCCTCCCCGGCTTCCACGGCCTCTTCACCATCCCAACAGACGGCGTCAATCATACCCCGGGTTTCACCAACGGTGCTGGTTCCCCGGAGGCGCATAAGCGCTGTCTGGCCTGTGCGGCGGGGATGGCTGTTGTGGCGTGTCAGATTGTGACGGATGATGAGTTTGCGAGGAGGGTGAAGGAGGATTTTGAGGTCGAGGCGGAGGAGTAGTTGATTTAGCTTTTTATAATTTAGGGTTATGATGGATGTTGGTTAGCTATTCAATGAGTATGAATGATTGTCATGACATGATAATTGCGGGTTTGTGAGTGTTTCTGCAGCGCAGTAATAGACAACTCTATGTTAATCCATAGTAGTTGAGGGGTATTCTAGATCCCCTTGGTGTGTATTAATGGCCGAGTCTCTCCTAAGCAATGAATGAATTTATGATTTGTCTGCGATCTCACTCTCAAAGGTACTATTTAGTTACTCGGGGCTTGTAACCTCGCTCAGTACTTATCTTTACAATTATCAACGCAGTTACTCCGTCCAGATACCTCGACGTCCACATAATATATCATATACCACATACTAAATCCCCAACCTAGTATCTATCATCTCAATAAACATACCTAAAACCCGGATTCTTCAAATCCGTAACATCAGCCAACACCACCCTCTCCTCCCCCTCAACCTCTCTCATCCCCATCCCCATCCCCAATCTATCCCTCCTCGCATTCTCCCACCTCAAATACACCACAAACGTCACAAGATCCACCACCACGACGGCCAAACACACGAACACGGCTATGAACCCACTCTACAATCACCAAGTCAACCAATTCATCAGTCACAACAACTACATTTACATTCGGTTGGGGTCAAACGCACCTGATATCTCGGCGCCTGACTCTCAAAAAACAGCTGTGGCCCGATAATATTCCCCACGCAGTACATGATAAAGTATATGGCGCTGACGGTGGCTCGCTTGGTGATGCCGCCGATGTTGGCGCTGATCATGGCCATCGAGAGTGGGAGACTGACGGAGTAGAGACTCATGAGGATGAGGCCGATGTAGCGGGAGGCAATGGCGTTGGTGCTGTTGACGAGGGCGGTTCCTAGGATGCTTTTCGGTTCTTGTCAGTGGGGGTGGAAGGGGTGGGGGATTGTTGGGAGGCCGGGGGGGGATGTACCTGACGCAGGAAAGGATGATGGAGGTTATGCAGCGGCTGTTGGCGAGTTTGGTCGAGGTGAAGCAGCTATTATTTCGTAGAATGTTAAATGAGGTTCTTATTTAGCTGAGGGATAAAGGTGGTAGGGCATACGATATCAAGATGATGAGGAAGACGATGAATCCTCCGGGCATGCCTAGCAGCAGAGTATGTTCGGTGTCGTATCCGAAGCCTTTGAGGATAAGGCCTGAGAACTGTTTATCATCGAATTAGTCGCGCATTCTACTAACAAAGGTAAGTAACTCACTGTCGTATAACCACCGTTGGGAATATTGCAGCCCAGGACGAACACAGCCAGAAACCATGTCTTCGGGTCTGTAAATGCTTCCATAACCTGGCCCCATTCAATCTTATTGTTCTTGTATCCGGCTTTATTTGCCTTCAGTCGTGCCAGCGCAATGACCCTCTCCTCGTCTGTTAGAAAGGAAGCATTTGTGGGTGAGTCGGGCAGGCGGAGGAGCATTACAAAACCCCAGATGAAAGTGACGATGCCGAAGATGATAAACATCCACTATCAGAAGTCAGCTTTGTGAAAGTATGCAAGGCATCAGTAAAGGTTCTACCTTCCATGATGCTAAGCTGTCCTGAATCTGCCAGATACCCACGGCAATGGCATTTCCGAGCACCAGTGACAAACTATTTCCACAGAACCAGATCCCATGGCGTAGCGGTTGTTCAGACGTGCGATACCATAGGGATGTAAGTAGGCCGAATCCCGGGGTTACACTAGCTTCTGCGCAGCCTAGGAAGAACCGGGCGACCATGAGTCCGGTGAAGTTCGTGGTAGCAGCATGACATGCGAGGACAACGGCCCAGCAGAGACTATACACGTAAGTGTGTGGTGTTGCGGCGTCAAAAAGAGGGAACGTACTAAGTGCACGCTAAGTACTTCCCCAAAGGGAACTTGACAAGCAGTAGTGATGCAGGATAGCTGGATTCTCCTGGTCAGACTTGGTACTCAAGCTATACTGCTTCACGTAATTTCAACTCACCTAAACGCAAGATACCCAAAATAGAAGATCGACGAAGTCCAACTATACTCCGTCCCATGCAGCTTCAGGTCCGTCAAAAGGCCCATAATAGCAGAGTAATTCAATGTCTGCTTGTCCACGAACGACATCATGTACGCAACCAGCATGATAGGAAGAATCCTAGTCATCATTAACCCTCCTCCACTCCCATAAACCACATCTAAAGCATACATACCGAAAATCAATCTTCCTCACAAGCCTCTTCTCCGCCTCAGCAGAGAACCGAGGCATCGATTCCAGCTCGATCACCCCATTATCAAGACTTGTCTTGACAGCTTCATGATCACCACCATCACACTCCTTCTTTTCAGTTGTAAAGTCCGCCATACTGTTAATAAAAGACGACAGTATTCAGGCGAATACCAACACGCGCATATTCTCCCCTATATAGGACATTCCAACACCCACCCCAGATATCATCCAAACCCCCTCAGCATCCTATCAACCATATCTTGGCACGAAACTCAATATCATAACTGCAACCCTTCCCACCAACACGATCATTGGCTGTATCGGCAAGGCTGGCCCCGATCGACAACAGCCGATGCCGAGATAGAGTGCCTACCACTTTACCCCAGGTTTTCGCTCTTATCGAGCCTGCATTAGGCTAGCGGGTTGGGAATCCGTGCGCTGCACTGATAGCAGGGTCGGTGTTAATGTGATTGGTGGTAGGGTGAGACACCCACTAACGGGTATTGTTGTTGTTCTAGGCAGTAGTGATAGATATTAGGGCCTGTCTTATCGCCGATTCCCTATCGATGATAGCTTGGGTGGAAGATGATGGGGAAGTTATCGTCTAAGCTGTTAACATTCTCAGTGGAGCACCTGGCTGGTGTGCAAGATTGCAGTGTGCTCTTCTAATTTAGGATGATGATGTAGAGAGCAAGTAAGTCTCATATAGCAGCAGACTCGATTCTAGGTCAGACAATCTGGTTTCTGCTGCACTCGAATGCGTATAC